AGTGGTGAGGTATGAACTGCGGCATTTGTTGTCAGGAAGACTTCATGTTGGGCAGGAAAACTAAGTTAGGCTTTGAATTATAATTAAGACTTAAATAACGTGCAGGGACCTGGAACAGGTTATCCTAACAGAAGGGAAGCTGTCAAAGATGCCTGGTTAATGTAAAGGGATTCAGAAGCTAAACTGGAAGTGGTTCCTACTCTCCAAGAATGAGATGATTTGAGGATCAATAAGGAAAATTACAATGGATTAAAATAGGTTTATAATACTAAAAAACAAGCAAATGAAATAAAATGTAACAGGTAGCCACTGGAACGTACTAGAGAATCAAGTCATTATTTTGAAAAATGGTATATCAATGGAAGAATCAAGTACTGAGCAGAACTTTCCTTTGTGAACCATAGCACTGGGCAATCAGAGAGTAGATGAGGGAAATTTCCTCCTCTGGAAATATTCCAACTTATAAGTGTAGAGGAAATGATAAAATTAAAATTTCACTACTTTGCAACACTGAGTTAATGAGTATAGTATTAATGATCAATGGCTGTTATCATCATGAAAAAAAAGATTTTCCTATATTAGGTCACTTATGATAGAGGAATGCCAGACCAGTTATGAAGCAGTCTGGCTGAAAAATATCATACCTAAATCTGATCTAACTACTCATTTAAAAAAATACAGAGATGAGAGGAGCATATTAAATTGCATCATAGAGATATAAGCAAATCCAGACTGGGAAATTCTTCAAGACAAACAACCCGCTTTGTTAACAAATAATATAATAAACACAAACAACAAAATGACAGAGAGCTAGATGGGGATATGACAGATTAATAGTCTCTCAAAAGCACAGGAACCAACTGGAATGTGTAAGCCTTTATTTGGATCTTGATGAAAGGAAATTACTTAAAAATTTTATGATTTTACTATACTATTGGAAATCTGAACACTAAGTGACTATTTAATGACATTTAGAAATTAGTGTTACTGAAAGGAAAAGAAATCAACAGAGACAAGAGGGAAGGAGGGAGGGGTGGGCAGGGAAAGGGAAGGGAAGGGGAAAGTCAAGGAACATATAGCAAGGACTCATGGACAAAACCAAAGGGGAAGAGCTGAGGGAGGGAAGGAGGGAGGGGCCAAGGGAAAGTGGTGGGGGGGAGGCAGAGACAAATGTATTTGAAAAAATAAATTAAAATAAAATTTAAAAAAAAAGAAAAAAGCAACACCAAGTTAAGACTAGAATAAACACTGGTACTCTTAAAACTGTCTTAGCATTACGTATAAAATAAAAAATATTTCTTTTCTGTGATAAAAAAAGAAATTAGTGTAAAAAATTATGTGATAATGGTATAGAGGTTATATAAGAAAAAGTTCTTATCACTTAGAGAAACATATGGAAGTCACCATAGATGAAGCATATGCTGTCTGGGATTGCCTCAAAGTCTTAAAGGAGTGGGTCTAAATGAAACAATATTGGCCATGAGCTGAAGCCAGCTGATGTATACATAGGGATTCATCATCCTATTCTATATACTTCTGTGTTTTTTTGAAATTGCCTTGAATAACTTTAATATACCTGGGTCAGGTTCTTTATTTTACATAAAGATAAATGAAGTATATTTTTCATGCCCACAAATAGATATGTTACTTATATATAGTAATAATTAAACTTTTTAATACCTAAATAAGAATGTGCCTAAAGGGTAAAGCCCTAGAAATGAACACAAAAGTTGTTCATTTACAATTGGTATCTAGCATTAATAGAATATATTATATGCATGAGACACACTTTTCAGAGTTTTAATTCATTTTTTTTTTCTAGATGAGGAAATGGAGGTTGAGAAAGGTCAAGTTTCTTGATGTAGCTAATAGGTGGCAGACCGAGGGTGTAGACCCAGGCAGTTCTATTCTATGGCTCAGGCTCTCAAACTTTAGTCTGTATTTAATTCTGTACTTAATTGTTGGGCAAGTTCCCATGTTTTAGGCAGAATCTAGATCAAAATAAATGAGGGAAGTTTATTCCAGAAAAAGGGAAAGGTGAAAGTAAAGGCACAAATATAAGAACCAGAAAGTTACTTGGTTTGAGTAGAGCCCAGGATTCTTAATATGAGAAATGCTGTGAAATGAAGTTAGAAAATCAGACAAGATCAGATTGTGAAAAACCATGAAGGGCAAGTTAGCAGTGTCTGGACTGCCTCCTGTAACCATTTGGGAGGCACTGACTTTGAGTGGAAGATGGACACTATATTTTTGGAGATTAATGGAGCTTAACCTATATGACAAATTATTGGGAGGGTCAAGATTAGAAGCAGGAATTTTGTTAGGAGGCTACTCCAAAAGTTTAGGAAAAAACAGGAAAGGTTGGAGTTCAGTGTAATGGCATGGGAATGAATAAGAAGGGCAACTATGAGTTACTACAGAAGCGAGACATAGAGAGAAATGAGAGTTAACAAAAATCACAAGTGTGGGAGCATGGTGATGTCATCACTGCAGATAGAAAATGGCGAATGCAGAAAGAGAAGCAGATGTGAGAGAAAAGAGGAAGGATTTTGTTTTGAACATACTGAATACAATGAAATAAACAAAGACATCCAGGAGGATAGGTCTAGTAGATAATGAGGTAAAGTAGACCCAAACCAGGAGAGAACTCAGGTGTAGGATATAGATTTGGGTGGGACTCAACCTGCTGAGGGTTGGTGGTTGAACTGGTAAGACAAGTGGAGACTGCGGAAGGAAAAAAAGGTAGGTAGTTTGGTTTGAGTCTTCAACAGTATTATAAGTCTCTCATTACATGAATATTGTTTGATATTATTTTCTATTCTTCTAGCACAGAACTCAATAAATTCTCTTGTCTGATTCTTGAAGAGTTATAAGAGATACTAAGAATCTTTTCATAAGCAGTGTTCTGATCTCCCAAATAATCCCAGAACAACATTTAGTTATTAGTAATGAGGATAGTTTGTTTTCTGTCTTATCTGGGAACCAACTAATAGGAAAAGGCCAAACTTGTTTATACTGCAGGACTAAAGACCCTTTTCAGATAACTCAGATGTACAATTCTGTTTTACACTGAGGCATCTTCATTGTTTGATCTTTATCACTTAATAGTGATAGTGTCATGATTCACTATTGAATTGTTAGCCAAGTGTAGCTAATACGAGAAGTAGAGAAAATGACATAAGTTTTTACCTGCCTCTAACATAGTGTAACTACTGATAAATAAAGCTGCAGTTGAGAATGAAACCATAGGAATGGAGAAAGAAAACTAAAAGCTCCCCTCTTACACATTAAAATAATTTCTAATGTAAGTTTAACATTTCTTTAAAAACTAAAATAAAGATGTGTTTCTTACAGCAAGACAAGTAGGAAATCATTTCAGAGTCTTTTCCAGAACCCATATTATGAGTCAGATTATTTAGTTTAAAACTGTAAGGATCCAAATAATTATCTTTTTTTACTTACTCAGTTTATTCCTCCCATGTCAAAACTCAATGTTCGTACTTAATTTCAAACTTTCCACATTTTCCATTTACTGCAACCTTGGGCTGAGAAAGCCCACTATTTGACTGGATTTTATAGGGCACTTTTATGATATCAACAACTCGATTCAGTAAGGGTTCTTTACCAGAGAAGGAAGAATATTAGTCAGAGAGCTCCTAAGTAAGCACAGCTGGGAATCCTTATCAGCAATCAAGAACCAACCCCACAGGGTAGTTAAACACAGCTGAGAGGCCTTTTGCTAGGACCAAATCTTAGAAGCCAGAGAATGCAAAAGCTATGACGCAAATGGTGGTGCTCTTGTCTCTAACTTTTAGAAAACTTCACAAGCTCACAGGCACTAGATGATTCTATGTGTTATAACCACTTTGTTGTTTGTGAAACCAGTAACCAGGCAATTCTTTTAAGAACTTTAAGCAAGCAGTGTGAGATTTATTTTAAATTTACTTCAACTATCATAGTTGATGCTTTTCAGTAGCAAATGAAGACTTTTCCTTCAATGTAGCCCTGTATGTGGGCCACAGACGAATGCAAAGGTGCTATTGCTTGTACTTCCAAAATGAGAGAAAACAGGAAAAATTTAGAGATAGGGTTATTAGTTAATAATAGAATTCTATTTTTTATAATTCCATTTTTGAGGAAGACTATAGAATGAAATGTCATGATGGAAGGTTTTTGTTTTGTTGTTTTGTGTTGGTATAGCTAGTGGGGCATTTGGTTGAGAGTCAGTTATCATCACTGAATATCCACAGGCCTTGAGTGGACACCTGTGGGGTGATGCCCTTTGATTTTGAACCACAGAATGATTTTTTTAAAAAACCAAAAGTCCTAGCAGTGAAGAGGATTTCTAATGAACACTTGTTCTCAAATCTCTACTCACACAGCTCCTACTACAAAGTTAGAGCTGAGTGGCTTGGCATTAAAGCCACAAAGGTCAGTGGCTTCTCATGTAAATTCGAAGTGGGTAGCAATGATCAGGACTGGTTTCAAAGTAAGGGTTCCTTGAAGAAAGCGTAAGGAGTTATGGCATACTCTGCAGTTAGAGTACACACCCAGGCAGCAGAATTCAGCCCAAATAGGACTCCAGGGGTTGACTACCTTACGTGGTTGCGTTTGCAGATTAAAATAACAACTTCTTTCAAATTTCAATTGTTGTGCAAGAATCTCTAAGGGAGTTCATTAAAATGCCAGTTTCACAGCTAGACTTCTTTTCCAATAGATCTAGGGACACAGGAGGAACAGGCATTTTTGAGCACCCAGGACATTCTGATATAGGTTGTCTGTAGACAACATTATAGAAAACACTGTATATAATTTATACTCAATGGTTTTCATTAAAGTACACCCCATTGATGTGTAGCAATTAATAACCTCAGCTTAAACCAAGACACATGAACTTACTTTTCTGATGTGTAAAAGGAGGATTTTTTTATACATAGCAATTTGTGTCACTAAACACTTTTACTGACAGATATTATTATAATAATTACTACTTTTTTTTTAACTGTGTCCCTGGATAGCTGCATCACCCTTGACAGGTCAAGGTCGTTACAGTGCCCTGGGATGTTTCTGTGGCAGACAAAAGAAGCATCTGCCTGGGACTGCATTTGGGTGCAGAGTGGGTCTGCACAACAGATATTGTTTTTAATTGAAACTTTTCAATGTATGTTATTTGAAATTAAAAAAAAATTATAATTAATTGTAAAATATGCTTTCTTTCTGCCTTAGTATACTGCCTTACTGGAAAAAAATTACTTTTGTATTTTTATTTTTCTTAACTAAGCAACGCAACGATATTCAGCTCTCAGTTACTGGAGTAAACTCTCTAAGTGGAACATAGTATGAAGAGAATGTGTTTTAACAAGGTTCTGAACTGTGTTTTCCAAAGACCCTAATGGACCCATCGGAGGTGTTATAATCTATTAAATTCAATTTATGTAGGTGAAAATCCTTTAAATATGCATTTTATGATGATATACTTTTTAAGATGTCCCCTGATGTACATTATACACATTACTGAACTATAATGACTATTAACACAGTAAAATTAATAACACACATTTTTAAAAGGCCTAAACTTTCAAAGACACCCAGGGGAGAATTTTTTGAGTGAAGTTTTTGAAATAACGGAAATTTTTACAATTTTATGGACAAAGAAATAAATGTTTAGGGAACTTTTAAAGATGCTCAGTAGTGGTGAAGGGAACTCAGTTTCCAGGATCCATATCTCTACTTCCTACTCACTTTGATCATTTTCAAGCGGTCCTGGCTTTTCTGATTAAGCTCTACCTCCAACAGACCTAGATGCAAAGTCTCTGAGCCTTCCCTCATTCTTTTCCTCCCTTTCTAATGGTGCTAAATGTACCATTGAACCATGGACCTCTGGTTGGCAGAATAGGTGTTTCTATTCAGAGGAAAAAGCAGAAAATAATTGTAATGTCTCTGTTTGGCATTAGTCACTCTCTGTTAACTCATTTAGAGTTTCTTCCAATATAAAGTCAAAATCTGCTAACTTACATACGGAAATTATTAGGCTAAAGATTCCAAAAACCATACCATACAACAAAACTCAGGTTAAATACTTTTAACCTAGTATTATCAAAATTTCAATAGTGAGCAATTCATTTTCAATTTTCTAATAACCGAGGGAATCATCTTTCCTCTAAAAGACGTATTTTGAGGTATACTTTATGTGTTGGCTCCAACTCTAAGTAGGGAGACCTGTACTTACCTAAATTAAATCTAAAAAAATTTTCCTCAAATGCTACAAGCTCTTAAATTAACTCTTTAAAATTAATATGCATAACATATTAGATTATTTCATTTGCATTAATTCCATCTTTTTATTATATTTTATCATTTATGCTGTTGTAGTTGTCCCCACTTTTTCTCCCTGTGTCTACCTCCACTCAGGTCCACGCCCAATCCCAGTCAATCCACATATTGTTGTCCATGTCCACTGGTTATACATATATGTTCTTTGGCTAATCCCTTCACCTTCTCTCATCCAGTCTCCCCTTCTCCCCTCCCCTCTGACAGCTGTCAGTCTGTTCCATGTATCTATGCTTCTGTTTCTGTTTTGTTCTTTAGTTTATTTTGTTCATTAGATTCCACACTAAAAGTGAGGAAAATTATCAATCTCCTATGAAGAAGGTTTTAGGCTGGTCACAGATACCTCTACAGTAACATTCAATACTCAATATTAGTACACCAATGACTAACATGTCCCCAAGAAAACAAAGACTGTCACAAGAGGTATAACCTCCCAAAATTGTCATTAAAGTATAAAAGAAAAAAATTTTAGGCACTCTCCACATACTCTGTATATATATTTTTATGAACTTTTTAGGAAGAAAACTAGAAGACAAGCATCAGCCAAACAAAAGAATAATATAGAAACTGTAGGTAAAGGACTGAACACAAATTCCATTTAGCTGGAAGACTAAAAGAAAAAAGAAAAATTGGGTATTGTGGCTAAAACTAAACATAAATACTATAATATTGATAAATGGTGTAATTATGTACCTAACAAAAAATGGGAGGAAAAGAGAAAAATGTGTGGCAATATGAATGTAATAATTCCTTTATCATTTGTGATGCGGTATTTAAAGACCATTTTTAAGCCAATAATTTAAGTAACAAAGATTAGCATATCAATAAAACCAAGGTAAATAGATGTCCAGGAAGTCCAGAAAGCTCAGAGTCCCAAAGAAACTGGATCCAAGAAGAAACACACCAAGACATACCATAATTATCCAAGATTAAAGATAAGTTATCCAAGATTAAAGATAAGGAAAGAATCTTAAAAGCAGCAAGAGAAAAGGAGACAGTTACCTACAAAGGAGTTCCCATGAGACTATCAGCTGATTTCTCAAAAGAAACCTTGCAGGCAAGAAGGGGCTGGAAAGAAGTACTCAAAGTCATGCAAGGCAAGGACCTACATCCAAGATTACTCTATCCACCAAAATTATCATTTAGACTAGAAGGGCAGATAAAGTGCTTCCCAGATAAGGTCAATTTTAAAGAAGTTCATCATCACCTAGCCCTTATTATATGAAATGCTAAAGGGACTTATCTAAGAAAAAGAAGATTAAAAACTATGAATAGGAAAATGACAGCAAATTCACAAGCATCAACAACTGAACCTGAAAAACAAAAACTAAAACTAAGCAAATAACTAGAACACAGAAATGGAGACCACATGGAGGGTTATCAGTGGTGGGGGGAGGGGGAGAATGGGGGAAAAAGGTACAGGGAATAAGAAGCATAATTGGTAGGTACAAAATAGACAAGGGGAGGATTAGAATAGTAAATGGAGAAGACAAAGAACTTATATATACAAACCATGGACATGAACTAGGAGAGGGGAATGCAGGAGGGTGGGGTGGTGCAGGGTGGAAGAGGATAAATGGGAAAAAAAAATTGGGACAACGGTAATATCATCTTGAGATGATAAATGATAGATAGATAGATAGATAGGTAGATAGATAGATAGATAGATAGGTAGATATCCTATTGGTTCTATTTCTCTGGAGAACCTGGCAATTGCACATTATGATGGAACAAGAACCAATGGGCTAGAGAAGTTGAAGAAAAACACGTGATTAATAAATAAGAAATGGACAAAATTTCTTTGTAATACTAACTGGAGGTTGCTAAGCCCACAGGTAACATGCGCTTAATTGGGAAAAATACACCCCAAAATATAAAGAAATTAAATTTTCCAAAGTCGCTGGAAATAAACATTGTTTAAAATGAAAAAAAAACCCAAGGTAAAAACTAAGAAAAATAATGTAGTTCATTGAAGCCAGACAACCAAAAGTGGAAATATGCTAATTCTGCTATCCCAGAGAAGGAAATCAATAGATATTGAGTGCAGAAATTGAGGACTTATTTTATGAATATAAATGACCACAGGGACAAAAGATTTCCAAATTTTGAGGAGAAACACAAAAGAAAACAATAAACAAACTAATTAAACCCATAATTTAAAATTTTTCACAAAGAAACCTCCAGATCCTCTTGGCTTTTCTGATGAGTTCTTAAAATCATTCAAAGAAGAAATAATATAAATATTACACATACTCTTTGGAGAACAGAAAAAGAGGTCACAGCTTTCATTTTATAACCCCAGCATAACTCTGATACCAAAATCTGACAAGGAAATCACAAGAAAGGAATTGCTCAGGTTTTTCATAAACAGAGATACAAAACTCCTAAAAAATAAGTATTAGCAAATTGGATCTAGTGATATAAAAAAAGGGATAATACAGCATGAACAAGAAGAAAAATCATACTGTCATTTCATCAGCTTCAGAAAAAACAGTTTAAAAATTCAATATCTGATTAGGTATTCAAGGGAAAACTCAGAACTATTTTCTTGATATCCTTTTTTTCATAAAGCATTTCTATAAAAATCTACATCATATTATTATTAAATATTGAATTATTTCCTTCTGATTGTAGGAAGAAGAAAAGGGTGTCCTCTATAACTATTTCTACTCAATATTGTACCAAAAGTCCTAGCCAGTACAGTATGGCAAAAAGGAAATCCAATGAATAAGAACAAGAATGGAAGAATTAGAACTGTTTCTTCATATACAACATGGTAATTTACACAGTTAGAATTAATTAATTAATTAATTGAGCAAGGTGGATGGATACAAGGTCAATAAACAAAACAATGTATTTTAATATCCTAGCAGCAAAAAATGGAAAGTTAAAATCTAAAGTTAGTTAAAATAACACTAAACATATCAAATATTTAGTAATAAATATAACAAATTATTTAAAAACTCTACAGTGAAAATCATATAACTAAGGAATAATAAAGAAAACCTAAATAAATAGATACACTAAGAATTGGATGACTGTATGTTATTACAATATAAATCCTTCCAAATGATCTATAAGTTGAAAGAAAACTCATTCAAAATCTCAGCAGATTGTATGTCTTTGAGTGTGGAAATTGACATGTTGACTTCAAAATCGACATGGACAAGTACAACGGGGGAGGGGAATAAATGTGGGAGGTATGGGGCGGGTAGGGCAGGGGAGAGCAATGGGAGGGAAATGGGGACAACTGTAATTGAACAAAAATAAAAAAATTAAAAAAGAAGAAAGAAACATGGAAATACCAAGGTCCTAGGATACCCAAGATAATCTCAATGAGCAAAGTTAAAGGACTTCCACTGTTAATATTTTCAGTACAATACTTACTATGAAATATCAGTAATTTAGGCAATGTTGTATTGGTTCAAATGTAGACAAATAGATCAATGAAACAGAAAAAAGGCTCTTTCATCCATCTTTCCTCTCTTCTTTATTTTTATATTTTCATTTTCATTCTTGTTAAGTCACTCCTATTTCTGCCTGATCCTGCCATTATCATTTTCATAGTCCTAGTTCAATTTCATTTATATACTATTCTAGCAGTTTAGCTAGCTGGTTTTCCTACCTTCAATCTATTTTTATTGTACTTTAAAAAAAAATTACATAAAATAAAAACATAATTTTATATAAATTCCTAAATATGATTACATAAAACAAATTTTAGTACAGATTTTAAAATGTTTTTATGAAATGTTTAATACATGGTCAAGAATATATGTATCTATGTGTGAATAAT